GCAATCCCTATTCTGGACCGGTCGTAACAGGCGCCAACAACATTTGAGAACCATCGGTTTGTGCCAAACAGTCGGCAGTCCGAAGTCCGGACCACCAAATGCAGTATTATGGAGGACAATAGAAAAAGCACAGGAAAGGCTGACGCAGGTGCCTACCCACGCTTTCGTTAGAAATAGCACAAGAAAGGCAGTGTCACAGGGTAGACATCAGTTGTCGAGGCAGCCGAGACAAGCGCCTTGTGATGCCTTGCAAGACAGCACATAAGACTACCCATGCTTTCGTAGATGTTCGGTTTGAGAACCATCAGTTTTTTCCAAACAGTCGACAACCCAAAGTCCGGACCCACAAATGCACTATCATAAAGGACAGTACAAAGAGCACAGGAAAGGCAGTATCACAGGATAGACATCAGTTGTTCGGACGACCGAAACAGGCGCCTTGTGACGCCTTGCAAGACAACACATGAGACTACCCACGCTTGCATAGTTGTTCGGTTTGAGAACCATCAGTTTGTGCGAAACAGTCGGCAGTCCAAAGTCCGGACCACCAAATGCACTATCATAGAGGACAGTAGAAAGAGCACAGGAAAGGCATTATCACAGGATAGACATCAGTTGTCCAGACGGCCGAAACAGGCGCCTTGTGATTCTTTGCAAGACAACTCATGAGACTACCCACGCTTTCATAGATGTTCTGTTTGAGAACCATCAGTTTGTGGCAAACAGTCGGCAGTCCAGAGTCTGGGACCACCAAATGCACTATTATATGGGTCAGTAGAAAGAGCACAAGACAGTCACCATCACAAGACACACATAAGTTGTCCAGACGACCGAAACGACGCGATGTAGTCCAATACGACGAGGAAGGAAAGCCTTGTGTGTGCGTGTTGAGAACCTTCCGTCAGGTGTGGTTATCGTGTTGGATCCGATGACCAGGATATGGCAGACACAGTATCACAGGATAGACATCGKTTGTCCAGAYGGYCGAAACGGTGCGATCGAGTCGAACACGACGAGGAAGGAAAGCCTCGTGCGCGCGTGTTGAGAACCTTCCGTCACGTGTGGGTATCGTGTTGGATCCGATGACCAGGGTACGACAGACACCACGACACAACAAAAGCAGCAAAAGCTATTCATGACCAAGGCACAACGAAAGCACTCCACGCGGTGTGGTTGCCGTGTTGAATCAGGTTTGGTTGTCGTGTTGGATCTGATGACCAACGCAGGTTAACTTGATACGGGCATAGCAAAAACACTCCACAAGGTTTGGTTGTCGTGTTGGATACGATGACCAGCTTTGGTTACCTTGACCCAGGCATAGCAAAAGCACTCCACGGGGTTTGGTTGTCGTGTTGGATCCGATGACCAGCTTTGGTTACCTTGACCCGGGCACATCAAAAGCACTCCACGGGGTTTGGTTGTCGTGTTGGATCCGATGACCAGAGCACAACAGATGACTAGGGCACAACAAATGACCAGGGCACAACAAACCAGCTTTGGTTACCTTGACCCGGGCACAACAAAAACACTCCACGGGGTTTGGTTGTCGTGTTGGATCCGATGACCAGAGCACAACAGATGACTAGGGCACAACAAATGACCAGGGCACAACAAACCAGCTTTGGTTACCTTGACCCGGGCACAACAAAAACACTCCACGGGGTTTGGTTGTCGTGTTGGATCCGATGACCAGGGCGCAACAGATGACCAGGGCACAACAAAAAGCACTCCATTAGGTTTGGTTGTCATGTTGGACACGACGGTCACAGTGTGCAAAAGGAGATATAGGGACCATTTCAACCCACGGACATGCTAAATGTTGACGTCACCAAGACGCAACACAACGACAGAGTGATTATGAATGTCGATTTATAAACATCAACCGTTCGCAGCACAATCTTCAGAGAGAGAGATGTGGCGGGATGATTACCTGGGCAAAGGACCACGGTCGAGTCAACCAGATCACCAATTTGTGCAGTAGCAGCTTCGAGCGGCGATTCACGCAGTAGCAGCTCTGCTTGCCCCGCAGCTTTGCTTGCCCCGCTTGCAGCAGCTCGGCCCGCCGCATCGCACAAAAACCGCGCGCGCTCCAAAAACACAAGTCGAAGTACCCCCCCTCAGGAAATGAAGCTATCGGCATCAGTTGGCCTACTTCCCGTCGGGGGACCGGAACGCGGTGGCCCAATTTTGACGTGGGGGTAAGGTCCCAAACCAGTTGGCCTACTCCCCGCTGGTCGACCGAAACGCTCAATCGACACCGTCAGTCGCTCAGATCTGACGGTCCACGTAGCGCGGGAGGGGACATTTTCCGGAGGAGGGTCGACGGTCCGGTACCAATTTTCTGGTGTAGGGTCATCAGCACCGTCGGTTCGACACGATCGGACCGCCGACGGAGCGCGTGGAAGGATACGCCGCAGAGTATAAAAAGAGCTGCGGGTCCCTCCCGCACTTCTCATTTCATCCTCTCCGACTTTCACGCGGGGAGTTTTCAGTGCAGGGCGATATCCGCGCTGCTTTGCCTTCAACGCAGGGCGCTTACGTCGCGACCTTGTGTGCACCCCGGTTGCATACGCGGGCGTCGTGCATGTTTCTCATGCGTGTGTGTTTGTTTCTCATGGCTGGTGTGGTGGCACAGTCGAAGCACACGTCGGAGCATAACCAAACCTTACCGTTGGAGCAGGGCCAACGAGCGGGGGCGAGCGAGAGCGAGACTTTGCATCGACGAGCACGAAGCGAAGGACAGAGTACGAACGGTGAGGATCTGCCCAGATCTGTAAGATTCAATGAGGGCTCGCCACGTGGCACTTTCAAGCTGTGTTCGCCGTTCATTGTCGTGTTGAACACGACGATCACATGCGAAGCACCACAGGTGATCGCCGTGTTGAACACGATGATGGACGGCGGGGCGGGTTTCATATGGACGAGCGCAGGACTGCCCTACGGGTGATCGTCGTGTCGAACACGACAATCACCCGTCGGGCAGTCCTGCGCTCGCCAAGGTCATTGTCGTGTTCGACACGACGATCACCTGCCAAACACGACAGGTGATCGTCGTGTTGAACACGATGATGAACGGCGGGGCGGGGTTCATTGAGGGCGAGCGCAGGACTGCCCTACGGGTGATCGTCGTGTTGAACACGACGATCACCTGTAGGGCAGTCCTGCACTCGCCCAGGTCATTGTCGTGTTGGACACGACGATCACCTGCCAACAGGTGAGGTGATCGTCGTGCTGAACACGGCGATGAACGTCGGGGCGGGGTTCATTGAGGGCGAGCGCAGGACTGCCCTGCGGGTGATCGTCGTGTTGAACACGACGATCACCCGTAGGGAAGTCCTGCGCTTGCCCTACGGGTCGCCCATGTCATTGCCGTGCTCGACACGATGATCACATGCCAACAGGTGATCTTTCTTCGTGTTGAACAAGACAATGAGCTCCGGGCCGGGGCGAAAATCATTCATTATCGTGTTGGACACGAAGATTAGCTGCGGGGCATCGTCGTGTTGAAACCGTTGGGCAGTTGTGGTTTACTTTCCCACCCCGCAACTCATCGTCGTGTTGAACACGACGATGAGCTGCGGGCCGGAAATCATTCATTGTGTTGAACACGGCAAATAGATGCGGGTTGTGTGTGTGCATTTGCTGATTTTTTCAATTCGGCGTGCAGGGCGTTTGCTGATCGCGATAGCAATCTCGGAGTGGATGACCCCGGGACTTTGGCGCGAACGCATTGCGTACCCTTTCCCCCCATGCTCGCTGCGTGTCTCCGGGTGTCGAGAGTTCACTGTCATTGACGGTGCGATGAGAAACGATTTCGAGTGTGATCCGTTGATGACGGTCGTTCCGTTCTACACCGCTCCCGTCGACTTGTGGCAGGAGTACGTTTGGGAGAAAATGGTCGAGGACTGCCCTTGGGCGGACGACTACAAATTCGCAAATATGTGCGAGTTCGGGAGTTTAATTCCTATGCCCGCTGATGTGCTATGTTCAGTTCAGTGTCGTCACTTGAGTGCCACGCTGCTGTTTAACCGTCGCTACAATGTTTTGGACTGTAACGTCGTGACTACTTCACCGCGCACATGGCCCCGTTCGCTGAAATACGAGTTGCTCGCCTGTGCAAACCATTCTGATTTCATCGACGCATACCCCTTGCGCTCTCCCAGGTTGTTGCCTCGAATGGTTTCGTATTGTTTTGTTAGACCGCGTCTTGGGAAGTGCTTTTGTTGTAGAGTCCTTTGCGTCGCGTACTCGAACCGGGATGGGACCTTAACTGACGCTGTGGTCTACGTGTCCAGGAATGAATTGGACGTGGTTGACGAACAGCATGCCCGGACTGTGGGGAGCGGTCAAGGGTCTGGTGGTGGTCCGAGCGGTCGAGGGTCTGGTGGTGGTCAGCGGACCCGCACACAAGATATAGTGCAGCAGGCAGGTTCGGGGGAGAGGTCTATGCATCGACAGGCAGATAAAGTTCCCGTCATAGACTACAAAGATAAATTTTGGATGTTGGACTGGGTGGGCGAGGCCGGGCAGGCTGGAAGTGGTTTGATGTTGTACGTGGTGTCCAGAGAAGATATTAGACCGATAGGTGGTATTCAATCTTGGGCAGGGAGGGATGGTAAGCTCGCCACTTTCGAGTTAACTATGCAACTCAACGGCAAAGGCCACAGAGTTGCAGAGACGAACCATGTTGTTCTCATGTGGAGAAACCACAAGGGATATGGTAAGTCACTTGTGGATGTTTTCAATCCTGATCCGGATAGCCGACTCCGGTTACCTGACCTCCGCCAAGTTCTCGCGTTCTTCGACACGAATTCGGTGGAGGGCCATCGTCCGGTGGCCCACAAAGAAGACACTATTACGGAACTGAAAAGTGTTATGTCATCGGCGCGTCCGACTGTGGGTGCTATAATGATTCGGCAGCCATCAGTGACCACGCCCGCCGTCCAGGAAGAGAGACAACACGCTCTCGTATCCACGTCGGTGGTCCCTCGAGCGGGACAAATCGTTGCCAAGGGCCCGGCTCATGCTCAGGCTCCGCCGCCGGCTCCGAAGAAATTCCGTTCGGTTGGAGTGAAAGAGCCGCTGTCCGTGTTACATGACATTGTGCGTACATCAAGCATGTGTGCCGAACCTATGTATGGTGCTGTGCACCGTGGTGTGCAGCCTTTGTATTTCGGTGATCCGGGAGAGGGGAGCAGTGGCGAAGGTTCACAGAGGGAAGAGGAAGAGGAAGAGGAAGGTTCTCAAAAGGGGAACGATAGTGAGAATACAATTAGTGATCGAGAGCGTCGTGGATTGCAATCAAAGAAGATGAGCAGTGGCAATTTTGCTCCCACCGGCGTATGGCGCAATCACGATTTTATGCACATGCAGAAAATCAGATCCGGCTGCGGCTTGCTCGACTCAATCCAAATGTTTTTCCATCGAGAGTGGTCATAAGGACGAACAAGGTTTTTCAGGAGCTCAAGGCATTATGAAGACTTGAGCACTTGGAAGAATTTTATGACAGACAAACAAACCCGGCATTTGGATATAAATGGCGCATTGATGAGGGCAACGAGACCGGTGGGAAAAGGGGACAATGCCCTAGCGGTGGAGCGAGTGGAGAGGGAGGTGAACACCCAAGTGGTGACGAGGGCGGAGGTGACGAGGGAGGATGTGATAAGGGAGGTGATAAGGGAGGGAGTGGTGAGGGTGGAGGAACATCTAAAGCGCCTGGGTATAGTCAGCCAACAACAGGCACATCAGAAGGGCAAGCCCATCATCACCATGAGAGAAGCGCCAGTGGTGTAGGAGGGCACATCGACATTCGTGGTTTGCCGCAGGTCAAGCTGTTTACTGCAGTGGAACAGATTGACGAAGGATGTGATGGTGGGCAAAGTGTCACCACAACACTCACAACTGTCACAATGACAGATAATGAATGGTGTGATGGCAGTGGCGCAAGTGTCTTCCCCGTTGGTGAGAAGGGCAATATTGGTAGCCCACAAGGCCATATGTGGATGTCTATGGATATTTTGCCATATGGGTTGGGAAGCCAAGGGCGGCTTAGGGCATCATTAGATAAAACCATGTATCTGGCGGAAACGGAACAGCAACTCGAGGCTCACACTCCACTTGATGAAGAGACACTCAGAGGCGACTTAGAGATTCCTGCAGAATTTCAAAGTTCGAAATCAGAGGAGAAGGCACAACGAGGGTCTCGGGAGGCAGGTATTGTAACAGGCTACCAGGAGGAAGCTATGCTTGCGGAGGAGATGGAACCGGGCGGCGAGCCTAACAGTCCATTTGATGAAGACATCCCTGACAACGACTTCGATACTAGTACTGGAGGGTCTCAGGATTCGCCTATTGTATTCGATACTGCTGGGAAGAACGACACTCTTGAGGGGCTAGTGGCGAAAGAAGCAATTCAAGTGCCGGACATCGAAGAGGATGAAGGACATATTGTACTGACTACTCCAACGCAATAGACACCTGTGGAGGAAGGACGAGAAAGTACACTTCGAACTCCTGTGCAGCAGTTCAGCCCATCTGTCAAAGTGATAAACATCGAAGAATCCCCTTTCACATCAAGACAGTTCGGAGATGCAAAAGAAGACGGTGCCCAAGGGAAAACCGCAGTTAGTCGCCGAGGTGAGCACTTACCTTACGAAGTTAATATATGTGTAATATTGTACCTAGAATGAGAGATGATTTTCTGGTTTTGCATGTTGCTGTGCATTGGAACTGTTCCATGTTTATTTGCATATATGTAGTGTGTCTTATAGTGCGTCCGAATCGGTAAATGAGGCACACGATCGACTTTTTATAGTTTGACTCACAATACTTTACTGCTATTAATATTCATTTATATTCATGTTGTTTTAGCGGATTTGTAATGATATCAAAATGATCGTTACTCTTATTACTCGTTACTATCGATGATGATTGTGCTCTCTACATTGATGAACGTGCAGGCCTGCGTAAAGGACTGTGGAAGGCCTCTCGCGTACACTCGCAAAGGAACAATAATAAAAAAATTATACGTCGTGGTTTGTAAGCCTTGTCAACGTTGCCGTTGTTACCAAAAACAGTTAAAAGACGAGCGCAACCTGTGACGATCCCGTTTGTGAGGCCAACTGCTCTAAGGATGTTTAAAATTGTGGGAATAGGGACGAAACAAGGGAAGAAATTGCACCGTGAAGTTTGCACTGTATCTGTTGTGGAACGCGGCACCGAAAACGAAGTTGGCAAACAAGCACCGTCATGAACTTCGTGTCCGCTTCTTATATCTATTTTCAGAAAGGCACTACTTGTATGGAAGTCTTAGACATACCGTTGTTGTTTACCTGTGTGTTTGTATGCAGTGCCTGACCAGTCGTTCAAGATTCCTCTAGCAACGCAACCCCTCACTGAGGTCGAGATGCAGTATGTTGAAAGGGTTGTGAGGGCCGGTGAAGAAAACGAAGAATACGGTATTGTTGTTTACAAGGGTGACTGAAAGGTGGAAAAGAAAGACATTATGCTCATCATTGAAGCAGGAGGATGGTTGAATGACGAAGTGGCAATCCAGATCGACAATGATAATGCCAGAGAGAATTTGATGTCTAGAGGACAGATTAAAGACGAAAGTCCGAAGGACATTCCATCTGTGTATATTTTAGATTCTTTTTTCTATGTCAGGATGACATCCGCGACGTCCAGAGAAATTGCTTACTGTGAGGGAATGAAGTGAGTTAGGGGAAGAAATATTTTCGATTATAACTTTGTACTTATCCCTTTGAACTTTGGAGACCACTGGGCTTTGACATGTGTTAGAATAGACGGTTGCAAGTGTGAATTCCAGCTATTAGACTCTCTCCCTCGCGGCGACCGCCTCGCAGTGCTGGAAGTAGTAGCCACATTTTTTAGAATGGAGTTCAGACGTCAGAATCTTCATGAAAGATATCAGGTCGACGAGCTTGCGACACCTTTCGAGACATCACTTGATGGGGTGCCTGTCCAACATGACGGTTGCAGTTGTGGTGTTTTTATGTTAGGTTTTTCATCTTTGTTAGCGAAAGGTCTCTTTCCACCATTCGATTTATCGCAAGAGAACATCTCGTGTATGAGACAGAGAATAGCATTTGACATTTTGTCGATGGTCGAGAATGAGTGAACATTCCAAATATGCAGAGTTTGATATCATTCAACACTTTGTTGATGGTTAGTCGCAGTTTCAAGTGCTATGTGTCATTCAACACTTTGTTCATAGTTAAGAATAGTCTCAATAGTTTGTGTGTCATTGAACATTTTCTTGATGGTTAACAATTGTTTCTATGGTTCATATTGCTTTCCACAATTCTCAAATGTTATTGTGCAAATGACATATTGCTTTCTGGAATTTCCAAATTTTATTGTGCGAATGACGTATTTCTCAATTGCCAATGTTAAGTTCTCACCATTTCGCCTTGTTTCATCGCTATTTTCCTCATTTCTTCCTCTCTTATATGTGTTATTTTACACTTGAAAAAAAACTGAACATGAAAACAATTTCACTTTTAACGAAAAAACCGTTTCCTCCTCCTCCTCCTTCTCGCCATCCTCATCCTCCTCCTCCTCCTCCTCCTCCTCCTCCTCCTCCTTCTCGCCATCCTCCTCCCC